TATTGAATTTTAAGAGGGTCTATAAACCAAATTTATGAACTACTTATGATAGAATACAGCGTAATATTCTGGTTACAAAAATCAACCAAGATTTTGGTTCCCCATCTGGAAGACAACCCAGGAATGCATTTTTTTTTAACCACAATTAATCTTACTGGAACATGATGTGATGTCCTAAATGAAAACACTGAGGAATCCAGCAGGAAGGAACAAGCCCACCTTATTTATTACTTGGAATTTGTGATGGCTGTCCTTTGCCCTAAAACTGTGAAATAATTACAGCTGTTATTTATAGCACATTCTTGCCAGATGTGCATCCAACCTCTGCATGAAAAGTTCCAGCACCAGTGAATGCCTGTTATTCACTGTGGTCCTGGGTCATTGTTATAGCTTCATTTGCTTTAGTTTTTTGAAGTTTTGTTTTGTTCATATTCTACGCATGTGGAACATATCTGAAATGAGCTAGAATCAGGGGCAAGAGAAAATAACAGAACCATTAAAGGATGATCCAGTGTGGAGATGGCAGCCAGGGAATGCCAGGAAACTGCAGATAAGGGAGGCATTTGAGTAGAGGAGATAACCCTGAGACTCTTGGCAGCAGTGGAAAAGAGAAATCCAAGGGATTCCCTAAATCTTCTGATCTAATGCAAGGAAGCAGATCATAGTTCCAACTCTGTGTTCCATGAGGAATTATCATAAGGGTTTTTATGCAATGTACATTTTAAAAAGCATAATGGATAGTGGCTCTTCACCAGAAGTTTAACTAGAAATGTGATGACATTTCTTATAACATTCTTTAATAGAAATTGGACTCTAGGTTTTTTTTGGTTTTGTTTTTTTTTAAATACTAGATAAATAGCACTTAACTGCTTCAATAAGTCAGTTTTCAGTTGTGCTGTCCCAGATGAAAGAGAGGAACACATTTATGGAAGCGGTTTCAAAGCAGTGAATTTAATTTTTCTCTACCCCCAAGAAAACTGTGAATGTCACTGGCAGCCTTGCTAGTCAATTTTATTGAGAGAGGAGGGAAATTCACATGGACTGGTCTTTTTGCCTGGCCACACCAAACTTCCTCTGGTTCCAGGGATTTTCCTGTGCAGACCTGTGCAGAAAAGCAGAACCTGGGGGGAATTTCAGAGGTCTCATGGTTTGACTGCAGCTCTGCATGCAGTGGTAGAAGTAGGGACTCTGCAGAAGCCCTACAGGGGGCTACTTAGATACCAAATGCTGGCGATTGAGTCAAAAGAAATAAAAGATTTGTAATACTGTCTTTTTAGTGTCTCTTCCCCTCTTTTCTCGGCCTTCGTCTTTTGCACAGTAGGCTGATATTCTTTGTTAAGTGGAGCCAGCATTGCAAATCTTTTTTGTAGGTTTTCAAATGATATCTAAATTAATCCAGGTCTCAATCTTTCTAGAGATATGATTACATATACAAAGTTTAGAAGTAGACTCATTTATATATTGTGACATAAATGATCTCAAGTTGTTTTTTTTAAATAATTCCGTAACCAAGATGCTAAGTTAGTACCATTCAATGAGAAATTCAATTCTCAAGAAAATTTCTTGGGACATGGGCAGCCATATTATCATCAGAGGCTTGCTGGGCAACTCTGGAATTCGAATATAGGGAGGTAGATCAGCTTAATGGACAGTGTCATCAATTCAGTTAATTTTATTTCCCACTCGCTAACTGGAAGAAAATTCAAATTTGAGATCCTTAGCGATCCCTAGATTGCTATTAGGTATTTTGCTCCATCAGCTCCAAAGGGATCCTTACCCTGTAGACACTAGTTAAGAAATAATTGGTTATAAAAGGTCTCCCCACCCCTAATTGAGAGCTCTTCTACTTCCACACAGAACTGAGACCAAGCAGGGCCAAGCCTTCCCTCAAAAACATAGCTATGGATTCACTCAAGAGCCTAGACACATAATCAATTGAGAACGCAAAGTTTTGTTTCATAAAATGAAGAACAAACTGTTGAGTAGCAGCCATCAAGCAATACCATCTGCAGAGGGGATGAAACCAGAAAGCTATTCTGAGCTGGAGAGAAACTTTCCCTGAGTCCGACTGGTAGGAGACAGAATCAGGAGGGGAGGCAGAGCTGGCAGTGGGATGCAGGGGAAAGACAGCAGTAGTCACTCCTTCATTCATTTGTCAACTTACTCACCAATTAAACACAAAATAAGTATTTTCCGTCTAGGAAGGATTCTTCTAGACACTGGGGTTTCCAATCAGACATGAACTCCTCCAAGTGCTTGGAACAGTAGGAGAAAAATACATGACGTTAAGATCTGAGTCAAATCAAAATGGGCTTGGAAAGGTAGATTGGGTCAAAATTACAGAGAAATTGGAAATTCAGACTTGAATACAAGGGTTTATTTTTGATTCTGTAGGCAATGGAAGGGAAGGAGCATCGAATTTTAAATAAGGGAATGACACACATAAACTCTGCAAGGATCTATTTGGAAAAGAGAGCATGTGTGAACTTGCGGGTGAGAAAGGCTATGGCACTTGTCTAGGTTAAAGGTATTTACAGCTGGAACTAGAAGTAGGGATGAAATTACTACAGGAGAGGAGGGAGAATGGGAAAAAGATAGAACCACAGGAAACACATTTTAGGATAGCAGGAGACAAAGAAGCCAGAGGAGAGCTTGGGGAGGGATCAGAGATAGAGGCCAAAAAAGGAGAAAGTTTCTAGAATATAGAAGCTGATAGTTAACCAAGGAATACAAGCATTGAGAAATGGCTATTTAAATAAGATGCTGGAAGATCCTTGATGACATTGAAGAGAGTAGATGAGGGAATGAGTGGAAAAGGAGAACTGGAAGCAGTCAATATATTCTACTATTTCAAGAATTAAGACCACGAAATGAAGGAGAGGAGTCTGAGAGAACATTAGATGCACTCATCAGAAATTTTTTGGTTGCAAGTGACAGAAAAAGCAACCCAAAGTTTACATAAGAATCTACGGGGATAGCTAAGGCTTCAGGCATGAAGAGATTCTGGGTTCAATCAATGCGATTGGTACCTCTTGGCTTGACTCTGCTTTCCTCTGTATAGTGGCTTCCTTTTCAGGTTCCCTGTGATGGCAAGCTAGCCAGAGTAGCTTCAACCTCATATCTTCCCAAGTTCAAATCCAGTAAATCAAAACAGAGGCTTTTACCTCGCTGCTTAAGAAAGTCCTGGAATTAGCTCTGGTTGGGCTTGGATTGGCTTGACTGGAGTCAAGGCCCATTTCTGATGGAGATGGAATTCACTGATTGGTCTAGGCCTGGAGATGGGGCCCTAAGGAAGCACAGAGACTAAGAATGGGAAAGGTCATGGTCCCTGGAGGAAAATCAGAGAACTGTTAATAGAGAATGGAAAATAGTAGCTGGGTAGCAAAGACAACAAGTGTCCAAACACCAGGCTTAAAAAAGGATAAGTGATGGACAGAGGCCTGGAGAGAAGGGAGGGAAAGCAATCAAGGTGTGGTGGACGGAACTGATTTCCAAGGAGGAAACATCCGCATTTCTCAGATGGAAGAGAAGGAGAAGATAATGTAAGATGACACATAAACACTTTGACATGTAGGTGGGGGAGGTTGAGGGCGCATAAGTTAAATACCTTCAATTTTTGAGTAAAAACTCAAGAGAGGGAATAGTGTTATATTTTGAATAATTAAATTTAATTAATTAAATTAATTTAAATCTATTGCACCAATTATATTACAGCAAATACATGCAAACAAACAGAAACTGAAAATAAAATTCTACAGCTAGCATATCAAATGCTTCCATTCTTTATATCACAGACATAATCCTTACAAAGTTTAAGCATGAGTTTTTTAACTTTACATATATTCTTCATAACACTTTTTAATTGTATACTATTTGATAGAGTAGATGTATCATAAATCACTTAGCCATTCTACTAAAAAAAGCATTGTGATTGCTTCCATATTTTATTAGAAATAATGCTACAATTACTATATACTTAGAGGTTTACTTTTCATTGAGGTGTTTCTGTAGCAAAAGTTTCCAAGAATGGGATACAGTCAAACACCGCATAACAACGTTTCGGTCAACAACCGAATATACGATGGTGGTCCCATAAGATTAGTACCATACAGCCTAGGTGCGTAGTAGGCTATACCATCTAGGTTTGTGTAAGTACACTCCATGATATTTGCACAATGACAAAATCATCTAACAACGTATTTCTCAGAACGTATCCCCGTCGGTAAATGACACATGACTGTAACTGTGTGAAAAGGAACGAATAGTTTGTTCCTCTTAATAGTGTTGCAAAATCCCCTTTCAAAAGGTGTGCACAATTGTCAATGCTTCTGTATGTAATTACTAGTTTCATCACACACCATGTGTTTTAGACATTTTACTCCATTAACATCTTCAAGATAACAACTACCATAAAGTACTGAACACTTAACGCGTGTCAGGATGGGTCTAAAGACTATAGTCATGTTAATTCATTTAATTCTCACAACAACCCTGTCAGGGGAAAAACTTGTTATGATCCGTGTTTTTACAGATAGGGAAACTAAGATACAAAGAGCTTCTTAAGTAAACTGCTGAGAAGTGGTAGAATTGGTATTTGAACCATAGCAATCAGTACCCAGAACCTACATGGTCAACCATTGGCTATATTGCCCTGTGATAGTTTTTGATTAACACTACCACACACGTTTTTAACAACTTATATAAATTTGTGCAAGAATTTAATCATGTCCTTTTTCTGATAGTTCTGTCCCAGATAGGGATAATAGTGGGATATTTCTTATGGATTTTGACACGTCAGATGGTCTGAATGGGGAGATTTATTATAATTCACTCATTTTTTCACCCCTTGCCAATATGTAAAGTTCAGAAACTAAGAATTACATTGCTAAGATTAAAAATAAATACAGTTGTTTCATCCCTCCAGGATACCCCAGGCCTTTTTTTTAGACTCTGATGGTTCTATAATCTATTTCAATCTGCCAGTTACCGTGGAAACATACCTTCTGGGCTTGCTTGAACATCTGAAATGTGGGTATTGCTTTGATGTGATAAGTTTGGGCCAACTCCTGGGAAGGAAAAGAAATGGCATGAAATCACAATTTTGGTATCCTCTCTCTGTACCAAGTATGGCACTTGGTGACTTTGCAGGAGGGATGCCTGAAAGCCCAGGGACAGCTGATACCCTGCAGATTTTCCTGCCAAGAACTTTTCTAACATACGCGCAAAGCCTCCAGGAATGTTAAAATAGAAAATCACTGTTCCCAGCAGCCCTGAGCTTTCTCATCCCAGAGCTCTAGCAGAGGGGTGAGAGACGGAGGTCAAAACAGGACGGACTGAAGGACAGAATGAGCTCTATTTAAAAGATCTTGTGAAGGATTGCAGAAGGGCCCCAGTGGATCTCAATGTGGAGAGAGCAGATTGAAAAAATAAAGAGTAAAGGTCTCTTTATAATGCACACTTCAGACAGGAGGTGATGTAAAGGTCTTGCATTTTAAGTAAGGCTTACACGTTTCTTTCTTTTAAGCCCTGGTCATCTTCACTGCCTATCTTTGTGAAACATTTGGAGCCAATGGACAAGAAAATATGTCAGAATTTCATTTGTCTCAATCCATTACAACCTGCTTTCAAATGCCAGTTTTTGTTTATCTTATCTTGTTTAGAAGTCATAAGAAAATTAGCCACCCACAGGATCAACAGAATTGGACTTTTCTCTCTAATATACTGATCATTTCATGTTGCAAAATCTCTCCCCTGCCACCTCCAACACACACACACACACACACACACACACACACACGCGCGCTCACTAAACTATAATTTTCATGACCACAGCAATGACAATAACTAATAAATTACTATCAAAAAAATTGTGTATTTTGTTTTGCCTTAAAAGACAAAGAGCTATAATCAAAAAGGCAAACAGGAAAATGTGTTGCTAAGGATGTGGAGAAATCAGAACCCTCACACATTGCTGGTGAGAATGTGAAATAGTGCAGCTGCTGTGTAAAACAGTTTGACAGTTCCTCAAAAATTTAAACATAGAGTTACCATATGACCCAACAATTCTACTTCTAGATATATATCCAAGAGAAAAGAAAACATATATGTAAATGTTTATGCCAGTATTATTCATAACAGCCAAAAGGTGCAAACAACCCAAATGTCCATCAACGAATGAAAGGATAAGTAAAATGTAGTAGATCCATACAACAGAATATTATTCTGCGATAAAAAGGAACAAAGTGTTGATACGTGCTAAAACATGGATGAACCTTGAAAACTTATGCTAAACCAAAGAAGCTAGTCACAAAAGACCACGTAGTGCATGGTTCCATTTATACAATGTTCAAAATGAGCAAATCTATAGACAGAATGTAGATCTGTGGTTGCCTAGGGTTGGGGTTCGGGGATGGAGGGGTCTGGGAGTAACTGCTAAAACTCCAAAAGCATTTCTTTTAGAAGCAATGAAAATGTTCTAAACTTGATTGTAGTGATGGTTACACAACTCTGTGAATATAAAACCAGACACAGAGATAATGATCCTAGCTCTGTATTCTGAATGCACAGTATATGATTCATCTTAAAGGGCAATTAAACATTGTCACACTTTAATGAAGCTTGAAGAAAATGGGGAAAGGGAACTTCTACTATGTTCTGAGCACTATGTCATCTATTTTATGTATATTATCTCATTTTATATTCTGCTAAGTGTTATTACCCTGTTTTACAGATGAAGAAACTGACATTTACAGAGGTTAACTGATCATAGGTCACAAAACTACTACAGGGCAGAATGGGTGAATGACAGATTTTTTGTTACTATATTCTAAAGTTCAAATTCAATCTAACCTATGCGTAGGCCGCTTGTTATTGTTACTTTTCCTCATTATAAATGAACAAATGTTATGAAGAATAATTTTGCAGACACATTGCGTATATTAATAAGGCACCTTTTGATTGAGGACACGAGGCTGATTATTTTTGGGTGGGTGAGGTGAGGAAGGAAGCTTCCAGGAACATGAGTGAAGGATTTCCCTGAATTCCTTGTGATGTTTAAAAAACTCCACAAAAAAGCACAAAATATGGCAAGAGGAAAGCAAGGTACTAAAACGTTTGTTATGCACTGAGTTAGGTTTTAGAAATCGATTAATAATCTATTACAGGGGTGGAAATCATTTTTGACCTTGAGCCCAATGCCAACCAACTGGTTTTGTCCACCTGGAGCAACTCTGCCTAGCAGGATTCTGGGGCAAAGTCCAGAGCAAGTGACTGAGAACACTGAGAGTGATTAGTGAAGTCTGCCATAGTATGGGAGGGAAGGGGGACAGCAGGAGAGCCATATATTTGCTGGGGTTTTTTTGTTTAAAGCAAGGCAAAACATACAAGAGCATTATGAGGGAGTTTACTACAGCTTATCAGAAAAAATTGTGAAGTTCTACTTCAAAGGCAAAACATACAAGAGCGTTATGAGGGAGTTTACTACACCTTATCAGAAAAAATTGTGAAGTTCTACTTGACTCTAAATTGATTATATAATTACAGAGTCAGTGCTCTCAATGACATTACATTCAGATTTTACATATCTACATGAAGGATTTAAGATTCTTACCCGAGAATCGTCCACATCCACATTAGCAAACATTACATTTCGGTATTGCAGAGACATTGCCTTCAAAATAAAAGAATAAAAATTCCCTATTAGTTTAGTGTTAATATTAAATTACACGTTAGAAGTGTCTTTTGGCAAAAAACAAGAAATGAACCAAAATGTTGTTTAAGAGAACTAAGCATCGTTCTGCCATTTCGCTACTGCCTAAAACTTGAAGCACCGACGTCAAATGTCAGACGATGCTAAGGTCAAGCAAAGGTCAAGGGCAGAACAAGAGTCTAAAGAAACAAACCAAAGATTAGAGTTTCAAAGTTGGAAAAGGACACAAAGCAAAGAAACAACGAAATGCATGTGGTGGGTCCAGACTTATCCCAGGCTAAGTAGCTTTTTGCTGGGGGTAGGGGAAATGTCTGCCTTCAGTGGTCTTCAAAATACAGATCTCTGAACCAAATACCCAAACTCTGCCTTTACCTTCTCCTCTTCGCCAGGCTTTTTGGGAGGTGTTCGGGTTGGTGCTGGTAGAAGCTCTTATGACCGAAGTGATATAAAAATATTTGAACTGACTATTAGCCTATTGCTTTTAGCCCCCATTGCCATACTTCTTGACTATGTATTGAAACTAGATTTTCCAGGACCCTTTGCCAGCTGTCTTCCATTCAGGTTCTGCCAATGGAAAGTATTTGCAGGAAAATGGAAGGTGGGAGGAGCTAAGATGCAAAACTCTCTTCTGCTTCGGTTTTGTTCTGGAAGCATCTTTGGCAGCGGTGGCAACAATGGTGTTGGTAACGGGTCTGGAAGTGGTGGATGCAGCAGCAGCAGCCTGTGGATGTCAGCTCCTGGGGTTTTTTTCCAGACAGCTGTGTTCATATTTTAAGGACACTTAACAGCATATTGATTTGTTTGCTTTACCATCATATCTCAAGCATTTCCAGTGAGTGACCTATTTCAAATGAGACTTCTCTCTGACGGTGATGTGAGGTGTCCAGAGCTTGGGCAAGCAGAGACAATCACAGACGGAGCTGGCACGGCAGGCTGCTCCCATGGAGAAGCAGGAAGAAGCATGGCTTGGGGTGATGAGTGGGTATGTGCAGAGCTCTGTTGTGGGGATTCTCTCCTGTTGTCTGTCCATGGATCGTGACCGAAATGAGAGTTCTTTCTACAGAGGCTCATCAAGGTGGTGAAATTGGGGAAAATCTCTTCGAAAACAGACATAAAGGTCATTACAGTTTTGGAGTACTTTTCAGATAAAAAAAGACCCTGATTTTGATTGGCAGCATCTCCAAGTATGGAAGGAAAGTGGTGTCACCCAAGAACTCAGGGGCAATTGACTTGCACTTTTCAAGTCTGAAGATAAATGGATGTTCCCCAGTAGGAAGCACGGTAATGGGTTTAACCTATGTGGACATCTAATTCCAGGGTCAGGTTCTATTTATGAAGTTTCCAGAGCCTCTCAAGTGTGTCAGGAAATGGACAAGGATATGGCAGTTGTCATTTTTGTATCAAGTAGTAGCCAGAAGACATGGTACAGATATGGGTTCCTTGTCAGATTGGGATTCCCTTATGGACATTGCATTCCTTGAGTATCCCACTCCATCCACCTATGACCCTCATTCTCCCCCTCCCCCAAACAACAACTCTTCCTTCTGTTCTGTTCTTCCTTATACATAATCTGTCACCATTTGCTCACCTATTCTGTTGATCCTAACTCTAAAATGTTTCTTGAACTTGATCTTTCTCTTTTTCTCCAAAAACCACTGCCCTAGTTTTGGTAAACCTGTCATTGAGATTGTTGTTCACCTTGGGTTACCTGTCTTCAGTCTTTCCAACCCATTCTTATACAACACTGAAAAAAGTATTTTCTAAAACCCACATTTGATCATGGCAAAACCCTTCTTAAAATTCTTCTGACTCTCTACAGCAACTCATTAAGTTATAACACAAGGTTCTTCTTTTTTCTATTTATTTATTTTTTTAACGTGTATTACTTTTATTTTATTTTTTTTTAATTTTTTATTTATTGCAGTAACAATGGTTTATAACACTGTATAAATTTCAGATGTACATCATTATACTTCTATTTCTGCATAGATTACATCATGTTCACCACCCAAATACTAATTACAACCCATCACCACACACATGTGCCGAATTATCCCTTTCGCCCTCCTCCCTCCCCCCTTCCCCTCTGGTAACCACCAATCCAATCTCTGTCCCTATGTGTTTGTTTATTGTTGTTATTATCTACTACTTACTGAAGGAAATCATACGGTATTTGACCTTCTCCCTCTGACTTATTTCACTTTGCATAATACCCTCAATGTCCATCCATGTTGTCACAAATGGCTGGATTTCATCGTTTCTTATGGCTGAGTAGTATTCCATTGTGTATATATACCACAGCTTCTTTATCCATTCGTCCCTTGATGGGCACTTAGGTTGCTTCCAAGTCTTGGCTATTGTGAATAATGCTGCAATGAACACAGGGGTGCATGTATCTTTATGCATTGGTGTTTTCAAGTTCTTTGGATAAATACCCAAGAGTGGAATAGCTGCATCATATGGTAGTTCTATCCTTGATTTTTTGAGGAATCTCCATACTGTTTTCCATAGTAGCTGCACCAGTTTGCACTCCCACCAGCAGTGTATGAGAGTTCCCTTCTCTCCACATCCTCTCCAACATATGTTGTTTCCTGTCTTGTTAATTATAGCCATTCTGACGGGTGTGAGGTGATATCTCATTGCAGTTTTGATTTGCATTTCCCTGATAGTTAATGATGTTGAACATCTTTTCATGTGTCTGTTAGCCATCTGTATATCTTCTTTGGAGAAATGTCTGTTCAGGTCTTTTGCCCATTTTTTAATTGGGTTGTTAGTTTTCTTGTTGTTGAGACGCATGAGTTCTTTATATATTTTGGAGATTAAGCCCTTATCAGATGTATGGTTTGCAAATATCTTCTCCCAATTGTTAGGTTGTCTTTTCGTTTTGTTGATGGTTTCCTTTGCTGTGCAGAAGCTTTTTAGTTTGATGTAGTCCCATTTGTTTATTTTTTCTATTGTTTCTCTTGCCTGGTCAGACACGGTGCTTGAAAATATGTTGCTAAGACCGATGTCAAAGAGCGTACTGCCGATGTTTTATTCTAGAAGTTTCATAGTTTCAGGTCTTACATTCAAGTCTTTAATCCATTTTGAGTTAATTTTTGTATATGGTGTAAGGTAAGGGTCTACTTTCATTTTTTTGCATGTGGCTATCCAGTTTTCCCAACACCATTTGTTGAAGAGACTTTCTTTTCTCCATTGTATGTTCTTGGCTCATTTGTCAAAGATTAGCTGTCCATAGATGTGTGGGTTGATTTCTGGGCTTTTGATTCTATTCCATTGATCTGTGTGTCTGTTTTTGTGCCAGTACCATGCTGTTTTGGTTACTATAGCTTACACAAGGTTCTTCTTGATCTTGTCTCAACTTCCTTTTCAAAGCTCATTTGTTGCCACTTCCGTTGTGTTCACTGTAAGTTAGCCTCACAGACTACTTGCCTGCCCATGACTACATTGTGCAGTTTCTCAAGAAATTTATAACCTCTCCTTTTCCAGAAATGCTCTTTCCAGGGTTCTATGCCTGGTGATCCTTTTAGCTCACAGTCAGCAAACTACGGCAAATCCAGCTCTCCATGTAGTCTTGTAAATAAAGTTTTATTGGAACACAGTTTGCCCGTTCATTCGTGTATTGCCATTGGCTGCTTTTGCACCACAGCATCACAGCTGAGTAGTTATGACAGAGACCATATGGCCCCCAAACTTGAAAATATTGACTATCTGGTCCTTTACAGAAAAGTTTGCTGACCCCTGGTTTTAGTCATCAAGGCCCAGATCAAATGGGACTGTGGAGTTTACTCAAGACTTAAAGCTTTATATCACTTCTTAAAACTCACATTTTCTTGTGACTCACTTCTTTGCTTGTCGCAATGCATCCTTCAGCAGAGACTCTGTAGGTAGTAAACTTGGTTTCCGTGTGTCTTGAAAATATCTTAAATTCCTCCCCCCACCCCCTTGAAAAATGGTTTAGCTAGTTAATTTCCATTCCACCTTCCTGCAGAGCCTGGAAAAGAAAAAAGGTCATGATTCCTTGGACTCCCTAGCAGCTAGTGTTCTGGATGCAAATTGGTAAAACGATACCAATGAGAGGTATGCAGGTGAGACTTGGAAGGCAGAAGCTACTTTCTTTCTGTCTTTGGATATTCCCGCAGGAAAGTAAGACTGTGTACTGGGAGGTAGTTGTGCTGCAGGCTACAGCAGCAGCAGCAACAGCCAGACTCAGGGATCCAGTGTCCAGGCATCAGCTTACTGGATGTCCAGAGGCAGCGACGGTAGCAGTAGCTTCCTGACTCTGGTTCTGCCTCCTTGACTGCTGCTCTGCTGATGTTTTTTTTTTTCCCCCTGCCATTGGTGGCCTCCCATCTCTCCCCACTTCTGATTATGGCAAAGTTAGGATCCCCATAGGTAGGTCTGTTCTGAGAGTTGTTCATGGAGTTCCAATCCAGAGCCCATTCATCCAGTCTTCCAGTGATTTTATAAGCATTTAATTCCTTGTATGAAAATCCTTTTCTGTCTCATTTGGTTTCCGTCTCCTGCTTTGATCTCTGACTGATAAAGTCACCTAGGGTAGGTTAAGGCTTTTCTTCAACCCCCTTATGGAGGATGAGCATAAAAAAATTACACACATGATACATGAATACATTCTCTTGCAAAAATTCAAACATTATCAGAAAAATAAAGCAAAACGTGAACTTCTCCCGTTCACAATCTTCCCTCAATTTTCACTCCTTGTCACAGAAAAAGACTTGATATACGTCCTTCCGGGGAGTGACGTCAGCATCATGGCGGAGTGAGTTGTTCCCTGCGTCTGTCTCCTGTAAGTTACAACCAGTGGGACATCCATTGATTAACAAAGGACTCCTTGCACAGCGCGCCAGAGCACCTGAGAGATCCAGGCATCTCCGCACCTGCAGGTGGGTGGAGCGGACCCGGGCGGCAGTGAGCTAGGCGAGCAGCCCCCTCCCCATCCCCCTCCGCCGCAGTGTGATCCGGGGCCGGATCGTCACACCCGCAGCAGCGCGGGGGCAACAGCGGCTGCAGGGACACAGGCGGCACGCGTGGCGGTGGAGCCCCTGCCCCTCCAGCCCCTTCCCCAGCAGTCGGGAGTGGCGCAAACGTCCTGAAGACTCCGGACAGAGCGGCGCCGGTGAGCCAGCCCCCTCCCCCTCCCCCGGCAGCTGCGCCGGTCTCTGCAGCGGTGGGAACACTTTCCAAAACGCGGATTTTCCCACTGGGGCGGGGCGCCCTGAGCGGAGGTTTCAAAGCAAACCGGCGCACGCCGGAGAGCAGAGGCTGCACAGCAGCAGCGACGCTCGCTCTCGGCTTGGCCCCTGCCGTCCCTCCACCCCGCCCCCCCTCCATCGGTGGCGGGTGGCACCTGCGACCTGAGGCCTCAGGAACCATAGCAGAACCCGTGATCCAGCCCCCAGTGGCGGCATCCCCCAACGCCAGCTCTACCAGCTGTCTGGGCTGCATCCAAGACCCTGGGCCCCTGGCGGCAACAGCCACACCTGTGGACCCAGGGCCTCTGGCATCAGTGCTGCCAGCATCCCCAGACAACCAGGGAGCAGCAGCACCTGAGCCCGTGGGGAACCTGCAGAGAGCCAGTGGAGGAACAGGAGACCCAGGCCACCCTGGAAGCAACAGAAGTACTCGAAGCCTGGTGACCCCAATGGTGACACTTGAGACTGCAGCAACATTGTAAGCACTAAGGCACCAGCAACCTCGGAGGCACAAGCAGCACAAGGAGGGCACTGACAACGCAGTGGAGTGTGCAAAGTGCGGGCTCTCAGATACAGTCAGAAGCAGCTCAGAACAAAGTAACCAAAGCCTTGCCCAAATAAGAAAGGTGTTGACTACCACAAATGCACAGGCAGGGGATCAACTCATCAAGCACCATGAAGAATTACAGTAACACAGTAGCACAGAGAGAAAATGACAACTCTCCAGAAACCGAACTTGGAGTCACAGAAGACTGTGATCTAACTGACAGAGAACTCAAAACAGCTATCATGAAGAAACTCAACGAATTGCAAGAAAACTCAGAAAGACAGTTCAGTGAGCTCAAAAGTCAAATTGATGAACGGAAGGAGTACCTTACCAAAGTGATTGAGACTCTAAAAGAAAACCAAGCGGAAATTCTGGAGATGAAGAACACAATTGATGAGATAAAAAATATTGTAGAGAGCATTGGAAATAGAGCTGACCATATGGGAGAGGGAGCTCAAAGTGAGCTCGAAGACACAAATCTAGATCCTTGTGTTCCCCTTTGTCTACGTATAATATAGTATATATGTTTATGTATGCACACACGTAAATGTTTACACATACATATCTGTATCTGTTTTACATAAATGGGGCCATACTATATAAATTTTTCTATATTGTGCTCTTTTTACCTAATGCTATGTTGTCTTGGAGACTATTTCATTATTACATATGGGTCTACTTGATTCTTTTTAACATCTGAATAGTATTTCAGTGTGGATGCACCAAAATTTATTTAAAAACTATGTTTGCGTTAGTCTGAATTCCAACAGAAAATAGATGGCACATTCAAGTTAGGATAATTGGGGGAGATGTATCTGCAAAAGGCTAATGATAACGAACTGTAAAGGTAAGGATGGGTGTAGGAAGAGCTGGAGGAGCCCGGACATAACAGCAGCAGACCTGTCACCACTCTTAGGGCCTAAAGGTGTGAAGCGAGGAGGAGGTTACCAAGCCTCAGATTTCATTGTACTTGATGAAAATGATTCTTGTTGGCTGTTGGAATTTGATCAGCTTTGACTTTGTGGCATGTAAGCATATTAATACTCCCGAAGCTGAACATTGGGGATTCTCTTAAAGTTTTGAGCGTCAGAATAGAAGAGGCTGTCATATTAAAATGTTCCCCCTGGATAGTCCAAGAATTTTAGGCATAGAATGCATGTTGAGATGTCATGTAGCCAATTTCTCTATTTGGATATGTTTCTTTTTACTTAAATGTTAAAGGTTGTGATTGTGGTTAGAATTAATTCACCTGGGTTTAAGAGTTCAAGTCAAAAAAGATGAAATGTGAGAAATCTTGCTGAAAATCAACAAGAGTATTTTCAGTTCTGTAGAGGAATCAAAACTTCTTTGTATTTGAAGGAATAGATTTCACAAAATTGACCATAAATGTGAAACTTCTGCACAATAAGGAGAAATGAAAATAAAATGCCCTGAGGGTCTCTCTGCAGCATGTTAAATAAAAAATAAATAAATAAATAAAATGGTGAAAACTTTTAAATGGCGCAATAGGAAATTAATTAGATGAAACATTGTATAGACCTTAAAATTATCTGGAGACTCTATAAAAACAATGTGTACGTGGAAAAAAGATCCAAATGTAAATATCAAATTGCAACTAAGTAGAATATTTTACAAAGTAGATTAAAGACATGAAAGAAATATGTAAGACATGATTTGTTCTGATAATAGGGTTGAAGGATTGGCGGCAGTTTATTTTTTTATATTACAAGTATAATGTTTATCTGTAATCTATTCCAATATTTGGAAGTTCTGAACTCTGGAACGTTGGTAAAGTGTCATTATTATGAATAATCCATTCATTTGTACAATTGTACTCTTGCACATTTGATGTTCCTTGCAGAATTATCAATAGATAAGTAGTGTTAATCTTCTGGTATGTGTACTAATTATCTAACTAGATCTCAGTATAGTATCTTCAGGTTGATCAGCATGCTTCCAAAAAACTATGATTCCATAATGGCTCATAAGTGCCAGCCTTTTAAGATTTCCTGGGAAAAATATCTGAGGACTTTAATTCCTTCCAAAACTGTGAAATAGAGACTGGTGATACTTACATGAACAAGAGGACAAATCCGTTTGCAAGCACCACACCATTTTGCTGAAAATTGTACCACTACAAGTTTGCATCCAGCAGCTTTCAAAAATGTTTTGAATTCATCCTGAGACAAGAACACAAATGAGAAAATGTGCACAATCACTGAATCTCAAAAAGTCTGGCAGAGAATAAAATGACAGTTTAGTTCTTAAAAACCTTAACCAGATTCCCCACCCTACTGTTCTCCAGGTGACTCAACCTTTCCTAAATGTCCTGAGGTCATATATATTTATCGTCGTAAGTACACATCAATGATAATAAATCCACAAAAAAAGTTTACGAATCTGTTTACCAAATGGGTTGGTAATAGTGGTTGGTAATGGTTGGTTACCTTGGAGAAACTGTGATTGGCCCGTGAGAGATGAGGGGTGGTGTGTAGGGGTGAACGGTTGTTCAAGGTGGACATCTATCTATTTTTTTAAACAGGGACCTAAACTTGCCTTCATACTGAAATTTTAAAAGGAGAAGAACTAATCTAACACCTCGAATCATTTCTTGCTTTTGTTTTTTGGGGTGGGATAGATTATTATTAAAGCTATAGTCAACACCATACATTTAAGGATTTGACATCCTTCTTGCTGAATGTCTTAGTGAATTTTCCATCAACTGTCCATATCATCTAAGTAAAGTAAGGCCTCCCTTCCTGGAACCTCAGATCACTGCATCTATACTTGTCTGCTTTATGAACAGTGACTGTCCTACACTAGTTATTTTATACATGGCTTATCTCCTCACCGAGTCCCTACAGAACTCAATCCTGATTCCCTCCTGCGTCTCCAAGGCCCCTTAACTGGCACATGGTAATATTTAGTTGATGAATGAATGACATGCTAATATACAGTGTTCTGCTCAAGATTTATTTTTCCTTTTCTCACTGGAATTGCAACAATAATAGCTAATTTACTCTGTGTCTGGTGTTCTCTTCCTTAATCTTTACAACCACCTTATGGAGTGGCTATTATTATTATTACCCCCATTCATACAGATGAAGAAACTGAAGCTGATTAATTTTCTTGTGGTCAACCAGCTAGTGCACTGTGTAGTTGGCATTGCCAACCTGGGCAGACTGACTCGAGTCCATTTCCTTAACCACATCCCTAAATCATCTCCTGAGTTCTTCATAGTAGTGGGGCTCACTCTCCCTGTCAACGGCCCTAATTGCATCCTGTGCTCATCCCTGGACCAACATTAAGACGAGGGGATGGGATCACTAATTGGATTAAGTCAATCCCAGGGCCTGTCACTGGAATTAGGGATGGGGTTAATTCCATACAAATGGCATACTGCTTATAATAGGGGAATCTTCACAATTATGTTGCCACTTGATTTGTTTCAAGCCGTTAGAACTGATAATTCAAAGAAGATACACTCTCTTCCTTTATCAATATTCCTCTAGGATAGAGGGTAATTAACTTGTCAAAAAGCCATGCTAAGCCACCATTTCTCACTTGCTTCTGAAGTTATATGATAGATGCCATCCTCACAAGCCCCCAACATCCTCCACTTCTCAGTAGTTGTTAGGGTGTAAATCGGCCAAGTTGGACCCATGAATTTGACTTGACTAAGTTCTCTGAAGGGGATACCTCATAGTATACACATTGATTCAACACGTACCTGTTGAGGCCTACTCTATGCCAGGTACTGGATACATTGCTAGGATATAGCTGTAGACAAAAAAAAAAAAAAAAAAAACAGACAAAACATTCCCTGCCTTCATGGAGCTTACATTTAGAGGGGGAAGCCAATGGTAAGGTCAATAAGCAAAATAAGTAGTATGTTAGTGATCATTGCTAATAAAGAAAAAAGGAGAAAAATAAAGTAGGAAGGAAGGATGGCAGCTGGATTACAATCATAGTCTGGGTGGCCAAGGACCACCTTAATGAGAAGGCGACATTTGAATAAAGACATGAAGGAGACAACAGACCCTCAGGAGAGGTCTCTGAGGCAGAGATGGAGAGGGCTTCTCAGGGGACAAGTGAGACCCCGGGCTATTCTGTGAGATTCCTGGAAAATTTTTAAAAGTGCCAAAAATATTAGCAAATGTGTGCTATTTTAAAACATTTTCTTATGTCAAAGTCACATGGCAATGCCTCCTTTCAATCTGGTCAGTCTCATTTTTGTGGCCTTATGTATAGCTGCATTTGGGGAAAATATCAAAAGTCTAAATCTAAGGGAGTTGGTGGATGGAGGCCCTATGCCCTCCCCCTTTCCTCCAGCTCATGGCCTTCCTGTAATGAGGCCTGGCATCAGAATGTCTGGATTCTAATGCTCACTCCACCCCTAAATGATATAGGACCTTAACTTCTCTGTTAGAGGCAATTTTCTTCTTTGTAAATAATTATCCTCGTCCTATATATGTATTTAGATTTGTTGTGGCAGTAACATTGAGCAATGGATAGAAAGTGGGTTTATAAAATACCACCTAAGGGATTGTTGATACTACTGGCCATCATTTTTCCTACCCCATTTCGTAGGCATGTCTGGGGGTTCTGTTCTCTTTCCTAGAATAAGAGAAAATATGTGGGCTCTTTTACTTCCACAGAATCTTCCAAGTACAACTAAGGTGGAGTCAGTGGGAGCAGGTACAGTTGGGAGATGTTAGGAGCCAGGCTGGGTCCAGCTAGAGTCAGCAAGAAATCGGAATCAGGGAGGAACAAAACCTTTTTTGATCAGTTTGTCTCTTGGCTACTCATCTAGACAGTGCCCTCCCACAAGAAACAACACAACGAGCAAGAATTTAAAAATCTCCCCTTGCTACAGAGCAATGAAGGAGTACTCGATGAAGGACATAATTCTTCAAGTTTATCAAATCTGTTCTCAAGATGGTCTCTTTTGAAATATTCACTGAAGCCAAATAAATACTTGCCATGTCTTTAATAATCCTCATCATGATTGACACCTGGGAAGTGCTGACAAAACTCTTCTAGCGGTTCAGTTGGCTTACTATAGCTATCTCATTAATTATAGGATCCTAGCTGGAATCTAAGGGTAACTTCTCTATGACATCATTAAACATGACATCCCAGAACCTAGAACTTTGGCAGACTCAGAGCTAATTTCACTTTTATGCCATGATGAGTTAGTCAACATGTGGTCAGCCAAGAATCAGCCAACTGCAGACCTTGTGTACCAATAATGTGTCTATTTCTGATGTTCTATCACCTATCTCCAAGCATCTCTCTCCCTTCCTCACCCCCTGCAACCACCAAATGAGAAATAAGCAAGGTAACATTAAATAGATGAAAGTTATTTTCATTTAGGATTTTGGAGGGATTTCCCATAAATTTGGTTTTATGAGTCGTAGATTCCCTAAACTTTCTTATTTTGCTCTAATTATTTAGGAGGTAATGAAACTTTACTCTTGTGGACTGGATCAGGGGTTGGCAAACTTTGTCTGTAAAGAACCAGATAATATTTTGGGCTTTAAGGACTACAGGCAGTCTTTCCTGCATATTCTTGGTTTTTGCAATGTTTTAAAAATGTAAATACCATCCTTATCTGGTGGGCCTTACAAAACAGCAGCAGTTTGCCAAACCCTGCACATAATCATTTGTCATTTTTCAGAATTCGATGTCAGAAAACAACCCAAACATGGCCATGGCCACTGTTTCTCAAATCTTCTTCAGAGCAATAATAACAAAAAAGAGAGAAATAGCAGAATTCTACCGTAAAACAAAAACAGCAAAATCCTTCTTTTTGGTTTTTTCATACATCCAGTCAGGTCTCTCTGGAATGAATTACCTGCCTTTCCTTTTTGTATGTGTTAGATGAAGTATGAACTATCAATGTTTCTTGTGTAGCCATAGACCATGTTGGGTTTTGTAGTGGATATTTGTCAGTCGCCTCCCAGCACCCATTTCCTCCACTTTCCACCAAAAATACACTGATTTTTCTGTGGGCAAAATTATCCTTCCTCCATTTTACAGCAGCTATGCAGTTTGTATGGGATTAATCAAACCCTAAATCCAGCATTAAACTCTGATCACATTAATCCAACCAACAATCCTACCTTTAGGCAAAGGGTTAATGAAGAAAGAACAAGAAAGCAAGAAAAAGCAATTCCTAGCACTGTGACAGAGTTACTAAAATTTTCTCTTTCCCCATCTGGATAGAAACAAGATGCTGGCTGGCAGCAATTATAAAACACATGGGAACCCAATCTTTGTTTAAGGCCAATATTTCAGAAAGCAGTGAGGAGACACAGAAGAAACCTGGGTTTTTGGTGATATCTTGATCCACTGGATTAAGTGTTGCTGGAAGTTCAATCTAAGTCTGGAGTTTTCATTTCCATAGACAGTTGATTCCTTATAGTTTAAATTGGATTAAGTTGGAATTTCTGATACTTACCTGGAAAACATTCAGATACAATATTACAGAAATTTATCCAATTGAGTCAAACTGCAAGAACTATGACTTAACATCATTATTGGTGTTTAAAATTTCTCATATAAGGTGCGAAATAGTAGAACAAAATCTCACTTTAGGATCAAGGAATTTAATTTCTGGCCTCCCATATGTCCAGGCTCAAAATATTCGTTAATGCTCTGAAATACCCAGGGTGAACATGGAACGAAAATGGGCTTTGGACTCAGACAAATGTTATTTTTCTGCTTCATGGTATATGAGAGGTGCTAAACTTGGATAAAGAAACTCAGTTTCAAATCTGTGTGCTGCTATTGTGAGATCTTGAGCAAATTATTGCTTATCTAAGCTTCTATTTCCTCATAGGGGAAATGGGGATAATGTCTACTTCATAGGGATATGGTGAGAAATAACAGATATAAAGAAGTCTAGTCAAGTGTGTACAATTCCTAGCCTAAGCCAGCAAAGACATCCATTCCATTCCATGCATTCCAAAGGCTTTCCAAGTTTATATTCCAGAAAGGGCTTTCTTAACTTTTAGAGAATAGAAAGCAAACAGCAATTCAATGTGATCCCCTCCGAGCTGGCAGAATTCTAAAAAGGAAAAGAAGCATGGTTGTAACCTAGCTGTCCACAAGCCTTTGATGGCACACTATGTTGGCCATACCATGGTGTTGGCCAACATTTATAGACTGAAGGATTTTAGGAATAAACAAAGCCTCACACGCATCTTGAAAAAAGTCAAAAGATCTGGCAACACTGGGCCTATCATCCTGTGTTGCATGATAACTGACAGGTGGAGAGTAGTGGCTGCCCCTCTAGAAGGGCACGCTCTTTCCAGATGACCCATCTCCACCATCTTCTATTGCTTCCAGAATTCACGGTGGAGTGGCAAGATGCCATTTCTGTTGTGGGTGTGCAGCTATTTTTCTTCTACTATGATAATAGGTATTTGAAGTATTTCTAATGTAGTTGTCCATTGCTGTTTTATTCTTTTTTCTTTGCCCCTAGGGTGTTTTATTTATTTATATTACTTGCCTGGCTTCTCTTAGCATTTGAGTTTGAGACTCTTAATTTTGACGTTTCTGCGATCACAGCCAGGGATTTTATTCATGGTTATATAGTGAAGATCTTAGCATATCCTTCTCCTCCTTCTCTCCTTTCATCCACGAAGGAAAGATGGATGGAGATACATATTGAACATCTTCCAAGCCCTTAGTTGAGAACCACTGCTTTGAAGCGTGGTCTAGGTTCTAGGCAGCACTTTCATTTATGTTATCTTACAAGTACCCAGTTAGTTAAGGTGAATGTGTCCACTCTACAGATCAGACGATTGAGGTGCAGCAAGTTTAGGTAACTTATCCTAGCCAGAATTAATTTGGAATTCAAGTCTGGGTCGCGTGTCACATAGGGAGGAACACAAGGTAAGCTAAGATATGCAAGTCTCTTAGAAAGCCGTTCAGCAATGAACAGAACTTAGAGTGAATTCTTTTTTTTTCTGCACCAAGAACAGAAGTTTCTATCCTCCTCTATTCTCTATCTACCATTTCTATCATCTTTTTCCTTACACTATTAGCTCTTCCTCAACTTTTTTCCACTGCATTGGAAAGAAGATGGTGCAGAATTAACTCTCAGTCGCAGCTACTAAACCAACAAACTCCTCCCACGTCCCTGGGTTCCCAGAAGTGGAGCAAGGCTGGCGCAGTACTTCTGCTCTTCAGAGCAGGGCTTGTAGACTTTTCCACAGAATTTGCTGCTAAAGCAGCTTGCACAGCCCAAGGGCAGGGAGAGTACAAGCTGACGGCTCACAGAAGTCTGTTTATTCCCAACTAGAATTAAGCTCTATTAAAATCCAGAAAATGGCCAAGTTCACACAATCGAACATCTTTTTTTGCTTTGCGGAGAGAGTGCTGTCAGTAAGCAGGGCAAATTTCTAATCCTGGAAAAATCTCCTGGTCAAGAAATTTCTAGAAAAGAGCAATCCAGGCTTCCCCTTTGCACTTGACTGCCTTCTTTGTTTCCCTGACATGCGCTCACATGTATTTTCCTAGACTCATTTCTGACCTCACTGTTGGAATCAGGAAGCTCCAAACCTGTCTGGGTGGGCTTTCTGAGAAGTCAGGGTTGCGTGGTTT